ACAGCCGTCGACAAGGCCACGCACAACTCTCGTTATGCGGCGGGTGCCAGCTTTCGCTAGACATCTCATGCGCATATGACCATGTGCCAAGACAGGCCCTGCTGATGGCCCTGAGAGAAGCCCTGGTCCCAGAGAATCTTGTCCAAGCCGTCCTTCTGATCCACGAGGAAGCGAAGCTGAAGGTAGCCCACTGTGGGCAGGAAAAGCTCATCTCTCTGAGGCGCGGCTTGCGTCAAGGATGCAGCTTATCACCTATGCTGTGGTCCTTGTACACAGGATGGTTGTTTCGGAAGATGCACCAGCCAGAAGTACTGTCCATCACCGAGCATGGGACGAGCTATGCTGATGATAAACACTTCTCATGGGTAGTTAGAAGTGGCAGAGACCTTGAAAAGGCTTACGCGGCGATCAAGCATATCCTGACCTCTCTTCAGGAACTTGGCCTCAGCATCAGCACAGAGAAAACGGTGATCCTCCTAGAGCTCAAAGGACCACAGGCCGCCAAAGCTATGGCTCGCTACACGGTGATGACTCAGGTGGGGCGATGCATGCGATTCAACATTGCAGCCAAAGAAGTGTACATCAAGTTAGCAGCCAAGCATGTCTACCTTGGAGCAGTGATTAGCTACAAATCGTTCGAGCATGAGACCTTCCAACACAGGTCGCGCTTAGCCAAAGGCACGTTCACAAGGCTGGGGACCGTGCTAAAGAATCGCTCAGTCCCAGTTCGTCTTCGACTACAGCTATGGCGAGGCTGCGTCTGGCCCACCTGGTTGCATGGACTGGACAGTGTGGGCCTCAGCGTCAGAGACCGCCAAACACTGCACACCCAGCTCCTGATCCAAGCCAGAACCATTGCAAACTCGTTCAGCATGATCACGAGGGAGTCCAACCTCAAATTCCTGCAGCGGCACCATCTACCAGATCCGGTAAGGCGCCTACAAACCTCAGTCACGCTTCGGTCGAACTTGGACATAAAACTGGGGCCGAGACTGAGGCCCACGAGTGAGCTGGTGGGCTGGCGACAAGTAGTTCAGCAACAGTTGCTGGATCCAGAAGCTAACACATGGAGTCAAGCTACCCCTGCCCGTAATCATGGTCTCTGCTACCTGGGAGAGTCCACTCAGCCCAGCTTTGATTGTGACATCTGTGGCCAGTCGTTCGGCACCCAAGCAGCTCTACGAAGCCACGTGTTTCGCATGCATCTGGATCAGCAATCTAAGACTGAACGGGTTGAAGTGGTGAAGCAAGCCCGAAACATCCCCTCCATGGAACATGCCAAAGATGGACTACCACAATGCCGTCATTGTCTGCACTCCTTCACCACGTGGCATGCCTTTTTCTACCATGTGCAGGCGCAAGGATGTCCTGGCTTACGACAGTTCCTTAACCAAGCCGAAATAGATCCCACTCTACTACCGACTCTCAGCGAGGCGCTCATTGACAGTCCGACTGTGTTGGAGGCTGCTAAGAATAGCAATTGGCAGGACCTTGCCCGCCTAGATTGTGTTCGGAACAGACTGCATACTGCGTTGAGTGCAATCACTGGAGTGCCAAACAACAGTATGTTCGCAGACACATGCTAGCCATGCATCCAGAACGGACAGACCTCATATATCAGTGCATTGAGGACATCAAAAAGAGCAAAATCAGCATCAGCAATCCCTGCAACTTCTGTGGACAGTCCTACACGCGGAAAGACGCCCACTTGCGGTCGTGTGTAGGCATTTTCTCAGGAGTGTACCTGCACAGACGGCTAGCCCGAGGCAGACCTTTGGGCTTGGCAGGTGTCTCCAAAGCCTCGCTAGGCATCCAAGTGGCTGAGGATGCACGACGTGTTTGGCTCCCGGATGGAAGTCGCGATCCCTCTCGAGCTGAGGGAAGCAACGCAGGACCTCAACATGCTCCGGGCCCTCCTGCCGCAGGTAGAGACTCAGGACGTCGAGCTGCTAGCCGACCCGGCGTCGGATGTGGATCGTCAGCCAAAGTGGCCAAGGTCCAATCCAAAGGGGCACGGCAGACAGGGGGGCAAGGGCAACCGACAAGGTGCGCCACAGCACTCCACAGGTTCCTGGTCAAACGAGCCGATGCCCCAAACAGCCAGGGACTCGAGCAGGCCAACACGGAGACCAAGGGAGGCCTCGGACAAGGACATTGCCAAACAGCTGGCGGAGATGAAGTCCTCCCTGGGGATGCTCACTACATTGGTGCTTCGGCAAGAAGTACAACAGAATGTG